TATATGATAATCAATGCTACGCTAGGATAAAAATATATGGAAAATATAAGGTAAAACATGAATTTGAAATAATCTATAGCCCATAGATATAGACGAAAAAATTCATAAGGAAATAAACAACAAGATCAACAACTACAACTACTAGTACTATAAATAGAAAAGTTCGTTCAAAACGATATGTTATTTGAATTAAACCAAAAGAAAGTGACGTAGGTACATGTTTAAGCAATATGGAAAAGAAATGAAAAGATAAATTGTAAAATAATTATCAATTCTTAAATATATCTTCTAATATTGTAAAATGAAACTCGTGAATAAACAAGTTTAGATTTTCATTGATACATGTGAATTTTATCCATAGGTTCATCTTTCAAAACAATACTTGTTTGTGCTCGTTTAACTCTTTCTTCAGCTTTTCGATTATTATGTTTACGTCGTTCTTCTGTTTGCTTTCGTACGTTTGTTTTTATTTTTAGTATTAATGACTGATTCTTATCGAATGAAATTCGAACAGAGGATGTTGCTGTTTCTGTTGCTACTTTTGATGTTGCTACTTTTGATGTTGCTACTTTTGATGTTGCTACTTTTGTTGCTGCTGCTGTTGTTGCTGTTGTTAATAATGATGATGATGATGGCCGTTGTTGATGTCTACGTGTTTTTATTGTTTGAAATTGACCATAGTCCAGAAAATTTAGGCTTTTCTTAATATATTCATTCCATGCAAGATTATTATATGTCACTTAATAATTACACAATGATTGAGTAATTGAATCAAGAAATCGTGTTTTTTTATTGATTTTGTTTTTAAAAATAATTTGTATCTCTAAAGTTTGTTGATGGTCAATTTCATTTATTGCTTCACCAACCCAAATATGTTGAATTTTTTCAATAGCAAATTCGCATTGAATATGATTCATTACAACGAGAAGATGATGGTGAGGCTTGAAGATTAAATTGACAAAGCATAACAACAGCCTGTCGATCGAGATCACCATATGTACTATAAGAACGATCATGATCAGCAATTCAACTTGTTTGATTGACAGGTGGATTCGAATATGTTGTTATCATGACTGATGATGGTGATACTATTTGAACTTTATTTGAAATTTGATTCTTACCATTCTCGGTTGTCGTATTGTCTAAATATATATATTTGAATCGAATAAGGTGTCTAATGGAAGCAGACGTAGTTGTGTATCAATTGGTGATGACTTCATACAGATATGATTAATGCTAGAATAACAAGATGTAACATGTCGATTCATTACTTGAGAAAAACAAATAAATATCGTACTTGAAATATTCTAGCTCATTGTTATGACATATAGAAGTTGATACTGTTGAACGATCTAAGGTCGAATGCTGAACATTGTTCTTCGATAATTCTGTTCGGTTCGTTTCGTTTCAGCATCCATCGAACTGGCATCAATAAACGATGAGCGCGAATAATATTCTGTTGACATGAAAATCTCTTTTGTTTATGCAATATATATATCTATTTAAAATAGTATTGACTAGCTCAAATCATTTTCTATTATTATGGATCTGAATATATTATAGAAAAATGATGATATTAATTTCATTCGAAGAAAAACTAGAAACGAGACATTGTACTGCAATACATCGATCATATCTAAGCAGATTTCTTGTCGATTTTTTGACTGTCAAGATATGTAGAGCAACTATGATGTTATAACATATATGTTCTCTGTAGTGAGAACCTTCAGATGATAGTCATTTTGATTCGAATCAATGAATCCGAAACGAACTTGAATCAATGTTGATTCATTTGGGTAAATAACCATCTATCGAATCTGTGGATTGTCCTTAACGTATTTTAATCGGTAAGTAAGTGATTAGTGTTTCCTATTAGGTGATTCTTGTATGTAGATGTGTTGTCGACTTTCAATGAATTAATCATTTGAGAGTATGATGTTAATAGTATTGGAAATATTTTGTGGAAGGGTATGATGATTATTTTGATTGTCAAGACAATAAGCCAATCCTATGTTTTGATACGTATTGAAGATTTGTGAAAAAAAATGTTGTTCGGCGATTCGTGCGCGTGTTACGTGTGATGTAATATGATTAATCTGAAATGAACTAAGTATGATTAAATAGTTCAGTAAGATGAGAAATAGGATCGTTTTAATAAGGAACTAATAGTTGAGAAAAGGAAATTGTCAATAGAATAACGAAGTAAAATCTATGAAGCCGATGATTCTCTATCACATGATGGACGAACTAAATGGTTGTAGATATCGTTTTCTGCGTTGAATAAATTTTCACATTGGTTATTATTATCGATTCAATGGTCAGCTTGATTCAATTTACACTCAGCATGGCGAATGAATATGGATTCAACAAGATGTCGTCAAATGTTTGAATAAGGATCAGATACTAAATGTATACAAAGTATTTCACCCTTAGCAAGCACATCTTTGAAAAGTAAATATTCATATATGACTTACGGACAGCGACAATTGCCATGTTGTAGAACGGAACATTGGCATGATTCAAAATTAGAACATATTTGCGAGAATCATTACATAATGTCATATATGTGTCGTGTTTTGTCACTAGTTGATGAATGAAAACAATGAATAAGAGGCAAATAATAATCCTAGGCAATGAACTATTTTCATTTGCCAAAATTTCTTTAACCAGAATACCATGGCTCGCAAAATGAAACTTTTGCATTGCCGCTCATGTTATAACGAAATTTTCTTGTTAACTTTGTTCTTCGTGCCACCGATCAAGTTGATGAAGATCATCTGTGGCATGGTTAGAAGAGGCGACGACAAAACACCGAAGGTCAGATTGTTCATTGATGATTGTTGTGTCGTCCATTTTCATCAAGGTTTCGAAGTGCGGAAAGTGGAACAACACTTTTTTTTCTCTCGATCTACAAGAAAAGAACACCAAAGAGAAAGAGATACATAATAGTCAAAGAAAATCATCTAAACAATGTTTCTTTCATTTCTTTCATGGTGTGCTTCAACTATATATATATATATATATATTGAGAGGATGATTATGTTGTCATAAGTATGAAATCGAAAATGACAATGAAATCAGAGCATTAATAGTGCAAACAAAAGAAAACAACGAATGAGAAATTTCAAAAAGTTAAGGCTTTTTTTTCTTCCCTTGTTCCAGTTGTTTAATATGGTTCCTATAATTTTGAATTAATTCGTTCCATTTTTGGTCTTCTTTTTCTTCTTCTTCTTCTTCTTCTTCTTCTTTTCGTTTTTCTTCATCATTCACTATTGTTTTGTCTTCACTATGGCAATCATCTTCATGATCATTATCCTCATCTGAACATTCTTCTTCCACAATCATAGATTGTTCCCGATGATGACGGTCATCAGTGCCATCGTAAGACGAAATATTTGATTTCGGTTGCGTGGAACTGAACGATTCTTGATTGTAAGATACTTTTGCTTGGTGTTCACGGTATTGTCGATGAAATTCTTGTAATGTCGATAGATCTAACGTAGGATAGTTGTGATTCATGATGGAAAAACCAGACAGACAGAAAAACTAATCTACAATACGAAGAAACAAAGAAAAAAAGAAAAGGATCTATTTAATTTCTTGTGAAATTGTATATGTCTAAATGAGAAACATGATTGTATTCATTTAGTATTTAGTGGATAGTTAGGTATACCGACAATTTCAATTTTAATACCATCTAAACTATTGACATCATCATGAAACGAGCGTGGTAAGAATTGGGTTGGATTTTGTTTTGCATTGTGCAAGGCAAAGCCTTTTAATCTGGAATGAATATACCAAATACATTGTTTTTGTGCTTCATCGAGACGTTTTCGTTTTTCTTCTCGTTTCTGTTGATTCCATTGGCGAACTTGGCGACGAAGTTCATCATAAGTAGCTTGATCAGGATAGGACGACAAATCGAAAGCATTGAAATCAAGAAAAAAATCTTCGATGTGTTGATGAATAAAATTAAATGAAAATTGATGAAATAAAAATGAATATTCAATATATTGTTGTTCTTCTTGAAAATCTTGTAATTGTGAACAACATAAAACAGCACGAACAAGAGCCATTCGAAGAGTATTCGATGGTCTAATAGAAGATATACCATGGAGTGTCGGTAAAACATAAGGTTCATATTTCCAATCATGATATACACGGGTTTGAAGTGAAGAATGATGATGAATTTCTACATCCAAATAATGAATTTCTTTCGTTTGTACATTGACTTCATATTGTATGGATGAATCGTTGTTATTCATCGTTTTTAATAGTTCATGAAATTTTTCTTTCGATTCATTCCATGTCAAAAATATATCATTAAAGCAGCGAACAAATATTTCATGTTGATCTTGATGATCTAACCGTAATAATGGTTGTTGCCAATAGAATAAATAGATATCAATTAAAAGTTCCATGAAATATAAACCTGTACCACCACCACAAACTTGTTGATAGATATGATTTTCATAAACGAAATATTGATGTTCGAGAAGAAATTCTGTTAATTTTAAAATAGCCATCGTGTTCATGCCTTGTATAGTTTCTTCCCGAATAAAGTCATCAAGAAAACATTTTAACGTGTGCAATAATTGTGCATGTGTGATTGATGTATGAGGATGTTTAATATGAAGAGTAATGAAATAGATTGTCGATTGTAAATAATCTTTTTCTTGATAATTTTCTAAACGTTGAATTAGATCAGCACCATTATCAATAGTCATCAGATGAGCAACTTGATTATAATAGATTGGAACTAAAAGGCGATATAAATAACGACAGATAGGCATTAATGGACTTAAAGTAGAAATCGTTTTTGGTTCCATGACTAATGATTGCTGTTCTTGTTGATGTAGGTCAAGTTGAAAGAAGAGATAATCTAATCGTACAAGAGAACGTTGTATATGCGTTTGTTGATATTGAAATGCTGTGATCAATTGATGTTCATAGAGATTTTCTAGTAATAATTTTATACTATCTGTCATCGTATTCAATAAATGTCGAACTTTTCCTTGACAATGTGGTTTATTTAAATTCACAATTTCAATATAAGCTTTCGTTCGTAACATATACTCATAAGCCATGATATCGTTGTTCTTTTGATGGCAAACATATCGCATTTTATCATGAGAAGTTTTTCACAGACAACAATTTGTTCGTTTCAATTGAATGTTCAATTTTTCTATATCATATTGTCGAATATAAAACAAGGGTTGTGCATCATGTTGAAAGGGTCGTATTCGTACCATAGGGATTATGTCTGGATCTTGTTGAGTCATATAGCGTGTCGATAATTGTGGATTTCGATCAGCATTTACAGGAGGGACTTTTAGAATGATATACATAGACGAAGCATGGCTCGTATTGATCATATCCATATCTAAAATAGATGAAAAAAAAAGAATGTAGACGGTATTGTTTTGTATTTTGATGATCATTTGAATTCATGATCAGCCGCTATGACCGTCATGACTATTGATCAATAAAAATATTTATTTGAAAGTAAAAGACAAAAAAAGAAATGAATAATTTGACAAATATAATGCGGAAAAAAAATAACAACAAGAACACTAACCAACATAACTAGATAAATTAATAATGTTGAATCATTGCAAAAATGTCATTCCAACATGAAACATACGTCTCCAATATTCAAACGTTATATGAAATCGATAATA